ATTTTATTTTATTTTATTTTATTTTATTTTATTTTATTTTATTTTATTTTATTTTATTTTCCAGATTGTACCAGTAAGGACAGGTGAGATGCCCCTACAGGAGCACGTCTCCATGCAGCTGCAATGTCCCCATCACTGCTCAGCCACCCCCTGCAAATCTTCTCCCAGCACAGGAGCAGCTGGGGAGCTGAGCTCTGCTTGTGAGCGATCAGTGTGCACCTGCACAGTTCTCAGGAGCAGCCCTGGTGGTGCCTCGGGAGCTGTGCACCAAGCTGGGGTCCCTCACTCTCACCAACACTTTCCACACTCACTGCCCCGGCTCTGCTGCGCCGGACAGACGGGCATAGAGCAGAGTGCTGCTCCCGTCCCTGCACTGCGCTGCACAGGGCTCCTTATTGGCACCCATGCTGCTCTCTGCAAGGAACATTTATTTTTAGGCTGCTGACCGCCATTGAGACGTGCTTGGACTGCTTTCAGCCTGACTCACCGCGGAGCTGCTGTGCTCCTGTGGCCAAGTTCTGTCCCCACCCAAAGCGGAGGAAAACGGAACAAAACAAAACACAAAGACCTGGGCTGGGCCCAGGGCCTCAAGAGTGCCCCCTGCCCTGCTGCGTCCAGCTCTGCTGCATGGCTCTTACTGCTTAGGGCAGGCAACAGCTGCAAGTGCGCACAGCTCTGAGTTATCTGGAAAGAGAGCAACAGTGGAACACGGTTTAAATACTCAAACGCTTGGAAGCTAAAGCTGCCTATTGGCCTCAGTCGCATCAGAGCAGCAGGGCCACACCGCTGCCAAAGGGACCGCCTGGCTCAGGCTGGTGCAGGGAGTTGGGATTTGGTGCTTTGCTTTCCCTGTGCTGCTCCCCTCACCAAGAGGCACAGGGCTGTCCGTTCTGCAGCACAGCAGCAGCACAGCACCCAGATCCTCTCCATGGTTTTTACCTCTGAGCCTATCGTGGCCTCCATGCTCCTGGCCAGCACCTCGCCCCGTTCCTGCGGCTCTGTGGGAGCTGCAGAGCAGAGCTGCTGCCTTATGCCTCCCCTCTGTGGTGGTTTCCAGGGGCTGATCAGGCAGAGCCAGCTCCTTGTTGCTCTTCTTCTCTTCCAGTGCTGTGAGCACAAGGGCCAGGAGGCCCGTAACTACACGTTCTGCTCTCAGAAATAATCTCCTGAAGTAAAGCAAACCTCTACTTGCATCTTGAAGTTAGATTTGACAAGAAGCAGCAGGAATAAGGAAATGCATCATTTTTGTTTTTACTTGAAAACTTCCTCAGTGCATCACTGGTGTTCTGCAGCCAGGTCAGATGGCACAAAGAAAGCTGCCTGCACACAGTGCAGCTCATGCAAGGCCTGCCTGGCCCACCGCCCAGCCCTGCTCCCTCCTCCTGGCCTCGGTCACAGGGGAAGCAGCCACCTTCCCAGCCTTGCTGCCAGCTGAGTCTGTCCACCTTTTTGCATACCTCCTTTGGTGCACATCCTTGGTGCCAGCCCAAACAGGCGGGAGATGTAAATGGGCGCAGCTATTCATGCCAAAACGAAAACCCCCAGGAGCTGTAGTTCAGGCCAGGAAGTCACGTATGCAAAGGCAGCTCTGCATGGAGCCTGCAGCACCCAGCTCCAGCATGTTTCCCTCGGGCTCGGATCTGGCCTGGCACCAACTAGCAGATCACTGATCACAAAAGACGTTTGACAACAAAAGTTCCTGCTGAGAAATGTCACAATGATATTTTATTTGCAATCTCAACAGAGCACAGCAGACCCTATGCTGGGTTTGGAGTCGGGCTGCCCGCTGCCAGTTGACCTGCCTCTGTCCTGCTGGAAACAAATTGGCAATAGGCACTTTCAGTGACAAACTCAGCTCCTGTATGTTCTGCTGCCTGAACAAAGCTATCTAAAGAATAAAGCAGTGCATGCTGCCGATGTTCTCCCACACAGCTTTCCCCTAGTTCCATTGCCAGAGCTCTCCCCAGCAGTTCATTTGTCCGTGCTTTTCAGCCTGCCCAAAACCTGCACAACTTTTACCATCAGCATCTCTCGGAAGTTGTCCCCCATGAGGAAGTAGAACACGGGGTTGATGGCACTGTTGAGGAAGGCGATGGGCCGGGTGATGATGTAGGCAGTGTTGATGGTGCTCTGGGTGCACATGGACATGTTGAGGGCTGGGATGCGGGAGGCGAGGCGGACATTGCGCATCACATGGTATGGGGTGAAGAGCAGCGAGAAGGTGGTGACAGCCAGCACCACCAGGGTGAGCGGCCTCTCAAGAGCCAGGACAGAGCTGCTCCTCTCCTTCCAGGTCTTCAGAAAGAGCAGCATCTTCACATAGAAGAAGCACATTATGGCAAGGGGGATAAGGAACCCAAAGAGCGTCAGGAACAGACTGTAGATGAGGCTTTTCTCTGGGTCCCCAGAACTCGCGTAGTCGAGGCACGTGAAGTTATTGGCTGGTGACACTGTCTCCAGGAAGAAGGTCAACGGCAACAGCTCCAGTATCACCAGGACCCAAACAGCAATGCACACAATGAAGGCTGTCTTCCTCTTCTGCAGTGCATGATCTCTGAAAGGGTATCTCATGAGCATGTACCGGTCAATGCTAATGACGGTAAGGAAGAGGATGCTGGTGTACAGGTTGACGTGCAGCAGGAACCTGTTGCTGTAGCACAGGATGCTCGAACTTATCCATCGGCCTCGGGAGTAGCTGCTCACCAGGACCGGTAAAGTGCACAGGAACAGCAAATCTGACAGTGACAAGTTGAACAGGTAAATATTGCCATTTTTCCACTCCTTTAGGCAGAAGATATAACCAAGCACAACAACGCTGTTCCCAATGGCACCCAAAGCGAACTCCAGGCTATACATGGTGGAAAGGTAAACCTTCTGCAGGGCTTCTCCCACATCCTGACAGGCATCCGTCCCATTCACAGCCTGCAAAGGCAGAATGAAAAAAGCAAGTCAGCACAATCCATCATATTGCTGTGGTAGTACTGTTGCTGTAATAGATCAATACGGCACACTGCTTCCTTCCAGCCCAGGTAGCAAGTAGGTGCACGAAGATCACACCTTATTTGCACAAGGTTTCCGCTCTCAGCTGCTGGCAGGGTCAGCGAGGAGCAAACACCCAGGAGAGCACGCAGCCAGGAGGGCCCTGCAGTGCAGCCGGGCGCTGACACCCCGCAGGCAGCGGCTGCTCGCAGCCCTCAGCTCCCTTACACAACTTCCGCCCGCGCTGCCCTCTCAGCACAGCATCGCTCCCTTTCCAGGAGGATGAGCTCAGCAGCACGGCTGCACTGACGGCATTTCTCAGAATTCTTTAAGAACTTACCAGACTGCGCTTACTGAATGGACGGAGCCATTCGTGACGTGTTCAAGTTTCTGCCGGCACCCCAGCAGCAGGATGGCACAGAAGTGGTACAGGTGGAGCACATCCCCCCGCTCCTACGGGAGCACAGGGCTGCCCCGGGGCTCTGCAGCGTGGTGGTGAGGAGCGAGAACTCCTGGGGAGCTGCACCTCACAGGAGGTTGCTTGAGGATAAACCTTGCTTTTGTCCTGAGGGTATGGATAAGCAAATGCTTTTGTTTCAAAGAAATCAAGCAGAGGCACAGGCACTCAGCCCTCTTCCTCAGGGAAACATCCACCTGCTGCTGAGAATCCCCAGGGGCACTGAGCACCAGTGAGAACAAAGTGGTCAGAGTGCAGGGGAAGATTGAGTGTTAGGAAAGTAAAATGTGGGTTACAACTGATATCAAGTTAAGGTTCAGCTCTGAAAGGACATCAATGTGACTGCCACAAAGTCTGCAACAGGCTGGATAAAGATTTGCAGACACCACAACTTCTCGGAGCTGCTCTGGTGCCTGAAGCACGTTAGTCTGAGAATGGGGACCTTGGAGCAAAGTGACACGCTATGCTCTGCAGGCAGCTGATGAGACAGAACAGGCACAGCACACATAGCTCCCCACAGCCACACACAGCAGTACCCACTCTTCCCTAACCCTCTGTGCCCCAGAGCTCCTTAGAGCCCTTGGGACCTGGAGCTGTTGGGGCCAGAGCAGCACCAGGCACACCCGGGCCCTGCCTGCTGGGGTCCTGCAGAGCAGCTGCAGAAGTGACCACACTGCCACCAGCACTTCAAGTACAAATAACAACTAGCAAGCTTCTGCATTAGCAGACACGTTGATACAAGCAGCAGAAGCAGAGGGGCTGCTGGCTTGCAGTGGATGAGGCCATGCAGGAGCTCTTCGTGGAGCAGGAAGGGGCACAACGCACAGCTCTGCACACAGCTCCCCATGCAGGGGCACAGCGTGCAGCTTACCATGCTGGGGCTGCTCCCTCGATGAGTTCACACCAACCATCCCTCAGTGGAACTTCTCCGATTGCCAGAGCTCAGCGCACCGCGGATGCTTTATCCTCGTTTGCATGTGATGCAGACGTTGATGAGTCATGCGGAGGCGCGATCTGTGTGGCTGCACAGCACCAGGAAGATGCCCCAAGTTTGTACAGGACCAGCAAGAGGCAGAGGAGAAGCTCCCCCCTGTGCTGTGGGCTGCCCTGAGTACAGCACAGTGACACAGCCAGAATGGCTTCAGCACAAGCAGCACCTGCCGAATTCACAGTGCTGTTGTGCAGCCAGCACCACCAACAAGTGGGATGGGATGGATGGAGCCAGCTACAAAGTGCATAGGGGTTCCATTTCGCTCAGAATTCCTCTTCCAGGCCTGCTTATCTGCTACACCAGCTCATGGAGGAGCTCAGGGGCTCTGCCGCAGGCAGCACTAACAGCCCTGAGCTGTGCAGCAGTGCCACATGCCCGCTCACACAGCCTGCAGCAATGCTCCACATCCACTCCATACCCAGAGTGCCGGCTCCAGCTGTCGGGAGACAGCTGCCAACACCGGAGCAACATCTTCCTCTTTGCATCACTATCATGATATGGGCCATAAAAAATTCAAAAGAGAATGGAAGGGGCAGCAAAGAAGCCTGTCACATGATGGTCAACCCATCAGTGACGACTCACCAGTCATCGCTCGTGGCCAATAGAGGCAGCCTGCAGCAGATGAGGCGCTGTGGGATGAGTGGAGGTTTGCCACAGAAGCTGACCGTGAGGGAGCAGCCAACATGAGACCCCTGCAGTAGTAATCCAGCAGGCAGACGTGCCCACCCAGCTGCTCGCTGGAGCAGATCTCATAGATTTTGATGACAGGAGAAGGCCATTGCTTTTTCAGCCTATGGAAAATATGAATACGTATAGAATATTGACAGCTTAGAGGAAAGGAGGAAGTGGGGAGCAACACACTTGACAGAGCTTTTCCCATAGAATCATAGAATTTCTCAGGTTGGAAAAGGCCTTAAAGATCAAGTCCAGCTGCAACCTTACCTACTACTTTCTGGATCCGTCTCCAACTCTGCTGATATATTGGCCACAAGAGGTTTAGAGCTCTTCAGAACATCGAGGACAAGTTCTGTTAAATAAAAAAAAAAAAAAAAAGCATCAGAAAAAATGAATACATTTGGAATGCATAGAATGCCTTCACCTGCAGTGCCACTGCAGCCCCTAAAGGCACTGCTGAATGCCTCCCCCTGTGCTTGGCCACCACCTGAAGAGATCTGCAGTCTCTAAACACATTGGGAAATGATAGGACAAAAGTGCTCTTTTTTCCTCGAAGTATCCACACATCCACCTTCTGTGTGAGGTCACAGAATGATTTGTACTGAAAGGGATCTTAGAGATCATCCAGTTCAGGGACACCTTCCAGTAGAGCAGGTTGCTCACAGCCCTGCCCAGCCTGCTCTTGAATGCCTCCAGAGAGGGGGCACCCACAGTGACTAAGACTTGGATGGTTCATTTATTTAGAAACTGATGTCACAAGTCTCTGATGCTCTTTTCCATCATTCTAGTCCTTACGAAACACAGCCACAAGCCTCTTCATTCCGTGCTCTGCTGTAAGTTGTGGGATATTCTTACTTTGTTAAGAAAACATTGCATGAAATAACCAAGAAAGTATCCCAGGAAAATATCACCAGCATCTCTAGCACCTGGAAACAGCATCAGAGGGGCAGAGTGCCAGGTGTGTAAGGACATTCTTCCATTGCGCTCAAACAGACCCACATTTCTCTGACAAAGCTTCCAACATAGGCAGTGAGGAAATTCAGTGACACAGCACTGCCACAAGGCTCGTAATCATGGGGTATCTGGGCAACTGGTAAGCTTCTCCTTTCCTCTTGGGAAAAATGCATTGAACTGAGCAGGCTGATACATGGCAGAGGTCAGACTTTTTTTTTTCAGGCCAGCTGGTCTCCCAGTCAGCAGCCTCAATACAAACCATGTCATAGAGAAGCAACCCAGTGCCACCACCAGCAATTCAAACAGCAACCTGCCCCAGCGAGCTCAGCTGTGCAGATGGATGTGTGCAGATGCATGCAGGCGTGGGCTGTCCTGCAGGCAAGATGCTGGAGCGTTGCTTCCAAAAGCTTCACCGTACTGCTCCCCATCAATTCAAAGCAAATCTTCAAAGCCTGATGTGCCTTTGGCTGGAGCAGGCTCAGTCATTAGTCAAGGCTGTACTTTTAAATTCCTGGGGTTCTCCAGCATCCTGAAGGCTTTGAGGAAGACAGTCAGGCACATTTGTTGTCATTAAGGACCTTTAATTGGTGTATATTATATTGAGGTATTGAGGCCTATCACATGAGTCATGCATATTGGAGGGCTCATTGTGACACATTTGCATTTGGCTCAGTCACTGGGGTTGGCTGCGAGCAGAGCCCCCAAAGCAGGGGGGTTGCCCCCCCCCCCCAGATGCACTGTGGGAGCGTAGAGCAGGGCCCTCAGGTAACAAATTCCAGGAGAAGGATCAGTGGGCACAGGGCTCTTAAGAGAGAGCAGAGGGACGGCAGAGAGCAGCTGGGCACAGCACACACAGCAGCACACGCACAGAGCACCCGTTGCTGCAAGGCACAGCAGCCCCACCTGCTCCTACCTTTGCTGCAAAGAAAGGATTGAACAACACACGTTTACCTTTCCTTTTTCAGCACCAGGTTTACCTGTGTCCCAGGATAAATGTGACTCATTCCTTCTCTGCCCTGATCCCCGGGCTCAACTGAACAGAAGTGCAGATAAAACCCAAATCCCTCCACTCCCACGTTTCCCTATGTGCAATTCTGCTTTTATGAGAGGAGCACAAGAACAAGCCTGAAGTGTTATGACTGCCTGTGGAATGCCGTTTGCATAACAGGTTTTGATAATGCCCGTCATGTACAACAGCCCCCCGAGTACTTTGCCACCTGTTATTTGGAATTGCACCAATTATGTCCAGGGTGCGAAAAAAAGGGGAGTTGTGAAATTGTTTCAGCCGCTCCATTTGACTTTGTTCCCTGCAGGAATAGATCTTAACAATGCACGCTTCAGAAACTCCGACACAGCCATCCTCCATGCCCCGAGCTGCACAACCCCTCTTTCCCACCTGCCCATCCAGGAAGGTTGGATCTATGTGCAAAAGCTATTTCCCTGGAGAGGCAAGCACTCCTCCCACGGCGCAGCATGGACACTGCCAGCTCCCAGCACCTCAAGAACCACCGTTCATTTTGCCTGGCTTCATTCCCCAGTTCAGTGAGCGTGGAGGAAGGCACAAACGTCTCAAAGAAAATGACGTTCTGAAATTGTTAAGCAGTTAACATATTCACAATACAACCTTAATGCTTTCAAACATTTATCTCAGTTTAATGTGCCAGGGGTACTGCACAGACTCATCCCTTCTCAGCACATTTCTCATGACCCTGAATTTAGCCCTGATTCTCTGTGGCAGTTACTGTGTGTAATGAAGTTCACTTGTCCTTTCTGTCACCCATGTATTCCGTTTATTGGAAAAGAATAACACTGCATTAGAATCAGAAAAGTTTTTTGTATTCAACATAAGACAAAAATACAGCAACCCTGACATAATTCCATCTAAACGCCTGCATACACACATGGAAAAAACAGCACTTGTGCAGTAGCTTTTGTGCAAAAGAAACAGGATGCTGCATGTTCGTTGGTGGTGTTTTGCAACCACCTTCAGACCAACAGCCCACCAACGTGTGTGCTCACCACTCAAGTTCAGGGACTCGTATTTAAAACAGAGAGCACCTCTACATAGAATATTCATTCAGAACTGTGCTGAACTCTGTCTTCTTCAAACCTATAATGTTGCCTAATTTTATTCTTAAAAACTGCGTAACAGTGATAGGGATAACAAGAACATGACACTTATTTAGTAAGCAGAACATAATTGCAGAGCAGTGTTGCTCTAAGGGCAGGACCTTTGCACCCTTCCCTTATCTGATGGGCACCCAGAGCTGTTCAGTCACACTACTTCCTTCTATTACAGAGCCTAATGGAGGCAATTACTGAGTAAGATGGGTGCAGATTTTTAGTATTTGCATCGTCTCGCAGCCATCCCCTTCGGTCTTGTGGTGCTCACCTGGAGCTGTGCTGCAGGGCTGGCAGCAGGGATGCAGTGGGCAGATTCCACTGCTGCCACTCACGCTGGGTCTGCCCACTGCTCCTCTGCTGCTTGTGGAGCACCTGGCACAAGGGGTAGGGGTGAGCAGACAGAAGCAGCAGCTGTGTGAAATGGTGATGGCACATGCTGACACAAGCCCATTGCTGTGACACAGCAGTGGGAAGGGATTAAAAGTTGCCCAGCTGGGCCCTACGCTTTGCCAGGCAGGCTGCAATGGGAGCACTGCCCACCAAGCTCAGGCAGCTGCACAGTGGGGACCAGGCACAGCCTGATGGGGGTCAGCCAGGAAAGGGGTCCCCAGGCAGTGCTGGGTCCTAAGCTCAGAAGGCAGCACCAAAAAAGCACATGTTGGATCAAGCTCGTTTTCCTGATGGAGATGACAAGAAATGCTATGCAGACACCTCAAGGCAGCACAGAATACAGCAACCACACCCAAAGCAAACAGACCCCATTCTCCCGCACCCAGCTCAGCTGCACCCAGCCAAGAGCCAGATGTGTTGCAGCACCCCTCTGTGGCTACAGATGCTCCTCCAGCCACTGCAAGTAGCTGCTCATCAGCCTGTGCCCCACGGCCATGTCCATCGGGCTGGTGACAAACGCCAGCGCCCCGTGGAAGCCGTCCTCAGCGTGCTCGTGTGTGACAGGAACACCCACCGCCCTGAGGCGCGTGGCATACATGAATCCGTCATCCCGCAGCACATCGTGCTGGCAGGTGAGGATGTAGGTGGGGGGCAGCCCCCGCAGCTGTGCCTCTGCTGCCAGCAGTGGGGCTGCCCGCGGGTCCAGCAACCCCGGGTACTTCTCTGTCAGCGCGGGGCTCCCAAACACCGGGCCGGTGTAAACGTGGTCCTTCTTCAGCCTGTCGGGCAGCAAGGTGCTCCAGTTCACGAACTGAAACAAGTGGCCCCATTGGGCCGGGATGTAGCGGTTGGCGGTCATCGCTTCCCTGAGAGATGGATCGGAAGTAAAGTATTCGCTCCAGAACCTGATCATGAGCGACTTGGACAGAATGGGCATGTTTGCATTTTGTTCGTAAGATGGCAGATTCATATCAAGAGTTTGAAGAGCTGGATAAATCAAAGCCTGGGCCTTCGGCTTGTTTGTGACTTCAGAGTCCTCCAGCAGCTGTAGATAAAGGAAATAAGTGCAAAGTCAGTCAAAAAGTGTTGGTTTCCTCACACCAACTGGAAACCTTAAAAGTAAAGAACTAACTACTTCTTCCTCACACTCCTCAGTGTCTGTGGTGCATCCACAACCTTCCCAGCCGAGCACAACCTGACCAGCTTCCCAGAGATAACTTCCTACTGACTTAATTAAATAACCTGCAGTAAGCACAAGAGGCACTTCAAGATTGATCAAAGGGTGCTAAAAATTAGTCTTGTTGCTTTTATTTTGCTGTCATTGAGAACGACTGGAGTCAAATTGATGAAATTTCCTTTTCTAACACCTTCCCTAAAACAGTAAAAATTCGCTTCAGGGTGTTCCGATGCCTTTTGATTAAAAGGCTGAAGCAAACTTGCTTAATCAGAACATGAAGGACTTCCTGCACGACAGCCTGCTCGCACCAACCACACAGACAGGTGCCTTGTTCTCCTTGCAGCCTTTTCTAAGCCTCCATGAAATCACAGGCTATAGCACTGCGTTGCAAAGCCACCCGCGTACCTTCTGTGCCACAGCCGCTGCCAGGTTGCCGCCGGCGCTGTCTCCTGCGACGCAGACCCGCGCCGGGTCAACCCCGTACTGGGAGAGCACCCTGCTCTGCAGGAAGAACTTGGATGCTGAAAACACATCTTCAAACTGAACTGGAAAGTGGTATTTGGGTGCCAGCCTGTAACTGTTGGAGAGGAGCAAAGCGATGTTACTCAGTACTGCAGAGCTGAGGAGCGCCTTTCGCCCCGTCCTCACTCTCTCCCATGAAAATACATGCGTAGATACGCAGTGTTGCGTTTTCTCTATCTAGAATGCCCAAGATGTTCTTATCCCACAGTTTACTCCTTAAAATACCGTATCTACTAAGAACATCAGCAATCTGCCTTTCTGCTTCTACAGATTCTCTGTGCCTGCAGCAGTAGCAGGACTGTCCATCCGGGAGGCTCAGACATGGGGTTGCCCACCCAGCACCACAAAGCAGAGCCTGAAATAACCACCACTCAGCACCCACCGCTGCACCTTGGCAGCTTTTGATTATGAACACTTCAAACTAGAAAGAAGCATATGAGCCAAATAAATTGAACTGAAATCCTCTCATTTATTTCAAATGCTCATTAGTCTAGAAGGAAAACCTCTTACTTGACTGATACCACAACAGCGTTTAATTGGTTTGAAGTCCTTCTTGCCAGAAAGTCATAGTGTTTCATGCCTGAAATGAAAGGAGTCACTGAAAATCCATTTCAATACACATTTGAGAACAAATTAATCTACAGCTGCATGTTCCTCATGGCAGAAGCTTTCAGGTGACTGCAGCAGCACCATCAGGCTGTGTGCCCATAGGGTTAACTCAAAGCACAACCTGGGCAAGAGATCCAGCCATCACTTGAAATATCAAATAGAATTAAGCACAGTAAAAAATTACAGTACTTTCTAAGCAACATCCAGGAGGCTCAGCTGTCATGGCAGAGAGAAATGGAAGCAAGAAGCACAGCAAGGTCAGCTCAAGCTCTCAGCATCACACATGCATTCACACTGAAATGAAAGAGATTGCCTGAGAAAAAGAGCTTGGCTCACCCTCCTCCGAAACAAGCAGCCGACCAGTGAGCTGAGCTATGGGTTGGTTGGGGAGAACTTCAGCCACATCTACAGGACTTTGATGCCAGGCTGGGTGATGGCCAACAACAATCGTTTGCGACCTTTGATGTAAAGCTCTGAAACTGAGCAAAGCTAAGCAAAGGACTTGCTGTAGGGGACAGCGTGACTGGGCTTGAGAGGAAAACATGAATAGTTCCCACAGAATAATAATAGCAAAAGTATAGCAGCAATTAAACCATTTTAGAAAGCCATGCTGAAATCAACAAGGAAGAATACCAAGCATGAGATGAGCACTGACAGCACAATAGTAGCCAAAATCAAAGAAACACGCTTACCTTCCCAGAAACACATCCATAAGAATAAAGGATGCAGTAATAAATGACTTCTGATATTGCAAAACTCCATAAAATCAACTCCAGGGATTAACAACTATCCCACACTCTCCCTAGAGCAAGAGGTGTGAGGAGCTTCCACAAACCTTCACTCACCACGTCCCCATTTGGTTTCTGTTTCTTTCTGTCCCTGTGTGGAATTTCTTCCCCCTTACTGAGCCACTCCTCAGTTCTGCTTCCTTCTGTAAGACCCCCTAACCGTGCCCACAGCTGCAGATAACACACCGTGACACAGGGCTGGCCATTGGAGCAGCCCTTCATGCTGCTCCTCACGAAGTCCTGCTGGAATGCAGCCCCTGATCCTCTGCTGTGACTCCCAATGGGACATCGAAACCTCCAATGCAAACTCTGGCACAGACAGGAGAGCTCACCTGCATCTCCAACGCAAAACCCTCCGCCATGGAAGAAGAGCACAGCCCTCCGCAGCCCCTCTGTTGGCTTCTTGGGCAGGAAGAGGCGGACGGCAACACCGCTCAACTCCGTGGCCGTCACAGCCACGTTCTCATCTGAGGTCGGCGGCACGTACTGGGTGATCGAGGGTAGCTTCATGACATCCATGTAGTTCGCCAGCCCCAGCATCTCGGCAGCCTTACCCTAGAGCCCAGGAGCAGCAGAAGTGACATTTCACACACAGCTGTAGTGGCTCCCTGAGTTCACACCTCCACAAAGCTGCCTGATGCTGCACAAGGCTCCAAAGCTGCTGCTGAACTCACGGGGCAGAACACTGCTGGCTCAGAGGGGTTCCCATCACCAACACGTTTCATTACCAACAGAACTGATGTGTTAAATGCATTGAGCATGGATTTTTCCCTGTTTCTTTTGCTTCTGTCAGGAAAAAAAATGCGGATTGTCCCTATATGAGCAGTCTTACAGCAACCAATAGCTTCATATTTGGAAATGATATTGAAAGGGTACAAAATCATACACAAGAGATAATAGCTTTCAGACATTCTATGTACAAATACCCGCTTAATCCAGCCCACACCTTGGGAGTAATGAAGAATTCCTGCAGTACTAGCAAGAAACGGGGTAAGTGCAGAAACTTATGGGATGGAAGAGGCAGCAGCAGGACAGGACAGAACTCTCCAGCCCAGCTGTGGGCTCACAACCACCCTGCCAAGCCCAACCCAGTGCCCATGCCAGTAGCATGCAGGCTGCTCACAAACACTGGCCAAACAGAACTGGAAGCCTGTCCCACAGCTCCTCAAAGACTCCCTCCTATTTGTTTCTATGGCAGCTGTAGGCAAGCAGAAAGATGCCCTCAACACGCAGCTCCCCTCCTCCCCAGGCCTTTCATCTCTGACCTTGTTTTCAAACCGAGCTCACCTGTCTGCAGCCATGCTGGGTGCTGAGCACAGCCAGGTTCAGACCAGCACCAACTGCTACATGCATTACAGGTGGGAACTGCAGCACCTATCTCTGTGTGCTGCATGGCCTCAAGAGTTACTCAGATGAAATAGCAGCATTACATGACAGAAACAAGGCAGAAGCTGAGAACATGGCATGTTAAAACTAGTGTGGAACAACACGCTGACTGACAGCACAGTCCTTCTTGCTGTATAAACATGGACAGGCTGCAATGCCACTTCCTCCCCAGACTGCAGTTTACAGCTCTGTGCTTCTCAGCCAGGTAGCACTTTTCGGTAGGCAAGATTGCAGGTAGTTCAGTATGAAAACATGGTTTGAGTTCTTCACACCATACCACTGTTATCCCTACAGCCAGCACGGTTTGTTTTAGGCCTGTGCTGTCAGCAGACTTCCACAAAACCACAGAGGTAACAGCACTTCAGCAGTGCAGTTTTCCTCTCGCTGGCATGCCATGTAATGCTGCTCAGTACAGGGGCTCTGTGAGCCAGGAAAAGTTTGAGGAGCAGAGCTTCAGCTGCAAAGGATCAAAGAGCAAAACGAACCTGTTTGCACTTATCCACATTCACACTACACATCACACTTTGTATTAATCTTACGTTTTTCCATGACAGCACAATTAAACCTTTTCTATCAGTTTCTGTACAGTTACGGTGGCACTAAGTTCAGCACTCAATTCCAGATACTACTGCCCTTCACTAAGGTGCCATGTATTGCCTGTAAGCATCACACACGAATATTGCCATATATCACCACAGAGCACCACTACTCCCCCTCCCCACAACACTACACCCACCCAGGCCCACACCATCACAGCACCAAACTCACCATGTGCCCAACCGTCCTCAACACCGCCGAAATCAGCATCAGCTTCCAGGGCTGCCCAATATTCTCAGGGATGGGGCTGTAGATGTAATACGCCACGAGGATGAAGGCGACGCAGAGGTAGAGCAGTTTTGCTCCCATGTTTGCCACCAGTGTTTTGCTCAGGACCGATCACGTAAGTGCTCTCGCCGACTTTTAGCAGCTAGCAAAACAGATAGGGCAAAGTTAATCCCATGTTGTGCTTGGATCCCGCCCAGGGGGTGAACTCTTCTCTGATCACTCTGCACAGAGGTTACCCTGCCACGTCGTTCAGGCACTTGGAGCACACAGTCAGCACTTCAGCTCCCCACTGCACATTGTACGCTGCAGTTGCCCGCTTTTTGGCATTTGCAATGAGAACCAGCAGGAGGGCTGAAGGGGAGAGAGGCAGTTAAAATACAAGGAACAGGATGTGGCCTGGGAACCTACTGCAAAGTGACAAACAGAAACGCAGAGGAGCTCTGAACATTCAGGAGCTATCAGGATCTGTATGCGTTCAAACAGATCCCAACTTGCAGCAGAACCAAACATCAGATAAAAGCTGCATATGTGCACTGTCATTTTCAAACTCCACTCCCTGCACCGATAGAAGCACACCCACTATTGTGTACTAACACACCAAATCCATTGTGCAATAGCAGCTGGCCCAGCAAGCAGTTAGGCTTCTGGTTAATATTTGAAAGCCTGGATTTAATTGCTGCTCTTCTTCTGTCCATCTCCAGAGACAGCCACTTCTGCACAGAATGAAGCAAGAAATAAAACAGGTCATGATTCAGGCAATTGAGGATGGAGACTCATCCTGTGGGGCAGAAAGCAGGGGGAGAAAGCCCCATCCCCATCATATGCCTCACCAGGAGCAGCATGAGCCTCAGGAGAGGGGGCTCCCTGCCCAAGAATTGGCAAATAACATGAGAAAAGATACGGTCAGACCCAGAGCCACCACAGAACTGCTCTTAGTGTTCTGTCACGTTTCAGGAACACGCCTCCCATGCAGCTTCCCACAGCTCAGGCAGGATGCATGCTCAGGGCAGAGGCACCTTGTGCTGCCCTTATCCCAGTTCACCTCTGGCTTATACCAGTGCTCACAGCGCCAAGCCTTTAGATGCCCTCATCTCTCACAAGCAGCTCTCCAGCAAACCGCAGCAGCGATCAGCCCCACCTTACAGCACTGAAAAGAACAGCACTGTACTCACTGCTTACCTAAGGCAATCTTGAAGCATCAATGTCAGCACTGAATCACCTACATCGCACCCATGTCAGCAGAGCCCTTGTAATGGGACAGAGCGGCTGAGGCAGCACAGGGCCCTCCACGTGGGGACACAGTGCAGGAGAAACACATGTGAACGCTGGGGGGGCAGCATCCCTGCTGCCAAAGCCTGTGAGAAAATCACCCAGGTGGGACTTCTGCTCCAAAGCAGCCTGTTTGAGGAATAAACAACGCTAAACAGAACTCTCCAAAGCAGAACGGTATTCACAAGGCAGTGTAACATCAGAGAGAAATAACTAGACGGTGACTTGAGCCTCAGCAGCAATGCAGTCCAGAGTACACCGCTAGACAAACGATCAAAGCTGCGGCGTAATCCTCTCGCGCACGCGCTGCTGTCGGCACAGTCTGTATCAGTGGGAGAGGAAGAAAAAAGAAGTAAGTTTGGTGAAGTATTAACCTACAAAGGCGTCCTCCTATTGCCTCGTCCGCTCCCGCAGACCCGGCGGCGTTGCGCAGCCCGGGGCCGGCAGGGCGGCCCGCTGCAGGGTGCGGCCACAGCGCTCCGAAGCGCCGCTCCGCCCCGAGGCAGCGTTGTAGGAAACTTCAAGGCCGCCGGGAGGCAGCGTGGCACTGCAAAAAGATTTCTGCCCGCCGCAGCCCGAGAGCTCCGAAGCGTGGCGAGAAACACCCGTGTGAGCCCCGGGCATCCTCCCGAGATACAGGGAATGAACGTACGGACTGCCCGCGCCGCCTTGCGCAGGACGAATCAAGGAATCGTTGTAAAAATGCAAAGCTTTCCTCTGCTGTCTTTCCCTAATCTGACTGAGCTCCACTCAGCAATGAACGTCATGAGAGCGCAGTGAACACGAAGGCAGCAGCTCTGCACTGAGTGAGCCCTCGTCCAACGCACAGACAGGTGGGAGCTCCTTACGAACCTGCTCCAGGATGCAAAGGTGAAAGCAGCCCAAACAACCCAACGCCGCGGGCAGACGTGCAGCTGCTGGCGGCAACAGCTCACGCAGGAGATGTCCGTGTCTTGTGCAGCCATCCCACCCAGATGCCGAGATTTTAGTCCTCAAACAGCCCCGCCGCACGCCGGGCCTCCGGGCAGCTGGAAGCACGGGGCGGCTCCTCCCACCGAGCGCCAGGGCTGCCGCCGCCACGGTGCTTCTCACAGCGCAAATTGCCTTCTGATCTTCTCTCGGTAAATAAAGCAGCCGCGGCTGTTGTCCTCCGCTGCAGGGGACGAAGACTTACTAGCAGCAGAAGTCACATAGGGCTTCATTGCCCAAAGGTGAGAACAAATCCCCTGCATGCCAGAGCTCAGCACGTGTTTGTGGCAAAGAGGTGAGCAGGGGCAGCAGCACGGGGTGCAAATCGGTGCTTCAGGACAAGCAACCCTGCAGGAGGAAAAAATAGGAAAAAGAAAATCAATAAAGGGAAGCAAGAACAAACTGGCTCACTCCTTCCTGATGCATTTTTCCTGCCCAAACAAGGCCCACGTGTGCCTCCACACACCTCTTGAGAAGGGCAGCAGCACTTGTCATCAACTCTACTTTTTACTGCTGCCTATAGAAAGGATTTGGGCCTGTTTTAATAAAAGGAGATGGCACTCCCGTGATGTTTAATACAAGGCAATTTGGACATTGCTCTTTGGGATATTGTTCTCCCATCTGTTGTTTATTACTGAATTGTAAGTTGTATAAATGGAAACAAATGTGAGTATTGAGCACGCATTCACACTCCAAACTAAAAAAAACAACAACAACAACAACAAAAAAAAAAACCAAATTCACAGAAAGTGAAGCCAACGTTTAACACCTGCAGTACTTCTGAATGCACAACAAAGCAGCAACTCCAAAAACACAGGTAAGTATTGAGATCATTTTCCAAAGAGCTCATT